CAGGCGACCTCGGGGTCGAGTCTGGGCATCTCCACAGCTCTCCACGCGAACAGGTTCGCATTCTCGCGCAAGCAAGCTTTGATTTGCTTCCTTGCCAAGTCGGGGAGTCCGGTGCCAATCCTCACTCCTCTGCCTGGGTCCTCGCCGAGGGGGACGAGTTCGAAGTCCCCGTCCGGAATTGGTCGAAGGGGAACTTACTCGCCACTATGAGGCTCATCCTGGTCGAAGCAGGTGTCTAGGGATATTGAGTCGACCTCTGGAGGGGTTCTCTGCTCTTCCGCCTTGACGAGCTCTGTCCTCTGAGACTCTGGTCGTGTTGTTGCATCTCTCTTGGCGGGCCTTGTGCTGGTGTCGACCGTATCGTGTCCCTTGGATGCCGCGTTAAAACACCTTCGGGCATCTACTAGGTCCCCTTGGATGGTGGCGACCCTTGCCCTCTTGGTATAAAAATTCATTTTCAGATGAACGGTAGAGGGTACTGCGGTCAGCTCCGCCAATGTCGGCCTTCCCAGAATGCGGTTGTAGAGGGATGGGCAATCAATGACGAGGAAGCGCACCTTGACTTGCCTCGTTGTCGTATCCTCTCCGAACGTGACCATGAGCTCGACGTATCCCCAAGGCTTGGAAGTTGAGCCGTTAAAGCCCTGCAGGTCTGACCCCACGTAAGGTGAGAGGTGAGAGTCGTCGAGCTGCAGGGTTCAGAATAGTTGGTTGTACATTACGTCAACGAAACTTCCTTCATCGACGAGGACGCGGTGTACATCAAAGTTGGCCATTCTCGCTCTTATCAGCAGAAGAATGACCGAATTGAGGGCCCCTCTGGGGAGCTCTTCGAGATAAAAGGTGATAAGTTCTGACATATCCTTCACCTTTTCAAAAGTTACCGTTTGAGGGGGGCCGTGTCGACCAACTCGTCCAGCTTCCTCTTGGCTGAATTTATGGTCAGGTCATTGAACCCTCCACCATTGATGACCATGGCGGAGGGAAAGTGCTCCCACCTGTTGTGCATCGACAACGGTTCTTTCAAGTGGTCGGGGACGTAGAAGTCCTCGGGTCTCGTGACGGAGAAGGCGGTTTGGATGGGGATCGACTCATCAGATGGTCGGGCATCCTCTTCTGCTTCTCTTGTATCACGGGCGTCGCGACGAGGATTGTCATTTCGCCGGTACTGGGCGAGTCTCCCCCCTTTTATGAGGGTCTCGATGGCGTCCTTGAGGTGGATGCAGTCTTCGGTCAGATGGCGTGGCTTCTGTGGTACTGACAATATTTGCTCCTGTCCACCCCGGGTTTGGCAGGAGCTGGTCGGGGACGCTTGACACCGTCATCTTTGAAGTCCGTACTTGCACACTCTGCTAAGATGCGCTCGCGGGAAGCCGTGAGCGGAGTGTACTATGTGAAATGCCCCGAAGGCCCCCTCTGTTCTCGGATATCCCAGGGTTTGTCGTTTTTTATTTTTTCCCCAGTTCGTCGAGGAGGGATGGCCTCTTGGCGCGGGTTGCTGCTGGATCCGCGATTCCTGGGGTCTCGGGCTCTGTTGGCCGCTTCCCTCTCCTCGTAGTCCATGTAGACCTTGGCCTTCTCGAGGAGAGCATCAAACATTTGGGGTGGTTCGATGCCCACGACTTTCCTAAATTCTGTGCCAGGGAGGAGGCCCCTCTCCAGCATGTATCTCTTCATATGGTCCGTGCAAGGGACCTGGATGGCTTCCCGATTGAAGCGATTGATAAACTCTCTCAAGGTCTCATCCTGCCTCTGGACGATGGCCTCGAGCGCCACTTCGGTCTTCGGATGTCTTCGGGACACAGTGAACGAGCTTATGAACTGGTTCTTCAAGTTTCGCCACGAGGTAATTGACCCCGGGGCGAGACCCTTGTACCAGTCCATAGTTAATTTCCTCAGGGTCGTGGGGAACAACCGGCATTTGATTGGTCCCATGACATTGTGGTAGTGCAACATGGCCTCGAACCCATTTATGTGATCGACCGGGTCGGCGACTCCGTCATACTCTTTCAGGTGTGGAGGCTTCTCCATGCCCGGGGGAATGGGTGCTTCCATGATAGCTTGTGATAGGGGACCGCAGGGGTCTTCCTCATCACTTTGTTCCGGGGAGCGGGACAGGGACCTGAAGTATTGTCGATCACGATGGCCCTGGTCGTTCCTCGAGCGATGTGTCCGTTGATAGGTTCCTCTGTGTCTGTCTCCGGGAGGTCTTCGTTCTTGTCGTGAAGGGTCGTGGTCGCGCCTTCCGGCCTCGATGAGTGGTTCTCTCTCCAAGGTGGGTCGCCGCCCGGGTGGTCGGGGCGATGGGCTTCGAGAGATGTCTCGGTCCTGTCTCTGCGGGGGAGATCGGGGATGTTCCTCCATTCTTCGAGGAGGTGGGGACTGAGGCCTCCTGTGTATCCTAGGGGGCCTTCGGTCGTCCTCTAGTGCTCTCGGTCTTTCCCCTTGGACAGAGATGAGATAGTTGGTCTGGTTGATTGCCGCGAACAGTGCCCTGGTCGTGGCGTCTGCCCTGGAAAGGACAGGAACTTCATGGAATTGGGCGGCTAGATAGTTCGAGGGAACTGGATTATCTTCTTCGAGCCGAGGAGGGACTGATGAAGACGAGGCCGTGGCTCCATCCCGATAGTTGGAGATTCCGGGGATATTGCCGCCGGGGGCAGTGACATGGGCGGTGACGCCAGTGTTGTTGGGGCCAGCATTGTTTTCGACGAGGTTGTTGTTGGCCTCGATGACGCGGACGTTCTAGTTGTCCTGAGTCTGGTCAACTATGACGATGGAAGATGGTTTTAGCTTTGATCTTTGTAAGTTTGTAAGACGGGGAAGCTTAGTTTCCCACAGACGGCGCCACTAATCGTACCTGATCAGAGTTGGACCGTTACAGCTGGTTCGAACTGGATTTGAAGGAGATGGGGGGTACTTGCAAGACACTCCGATGATAAAGTGAGAGACGGAATGAGCATGAGAATTGTATGTAGGTGTGAATGAATGAATACCTGACCCTCTTGAAATAGAGGGTATTTATAGTCACCAACACTGGGCCAAGGTCCCTTTATTGGACTGACCAAAACAGACCCAACAAAGGGACTGCCAGGTTCTACGTGAGTAGTGGGGACCTGCACGTGATCCCCTACCTGGATGATGCTCTCCGAAGAATAAGGAGGGTGAAGATGCGATCTTCTCGGGGCCCTGAGAACTCTGAAACATCCGAAGGGGTCGAGAGTCTGCCCTACGAGGAGGGTACTCGAGCAAGGCTCGAATTTGAGTGTTCCTCGTCTGGGACATCTCTCGTCGGGGACGTCTCTCGTCGCGGGCAACGACGAGCATGGTCGTATTAGTCCTATAGCCCGTGACCGGGTATGCTCGGAGGATCTAATGCCCAGCATAGCACGTGGAACGGTTTGGATTGGACCTTACTGGTGGTTTGGACCACGGGCAGACCCAGTCCAGAACAGTATACTTAAATCTGATGGAACAAAATAAATATAGTTATATGAATGCGTTATATTATTTATCACCGTATTTTTTTCTCTCCAATTTAAATGAAATAAATAATTTATTTTATTCCATCTTAAATTTTTTAAATAGAATGGTATCTCCATTTCGTTATTGTATGTATTAGCTTCTTTTTTTTTTAAGTATAGTAATCTTTCTTATTAGCTTTATTACATTTTGGTGTATATTAATGTGAATAAGATTTTCTATTAAATAAAATATTGATGATGATATATGCAAGAAAACTCATAAAAATGCTCATAAGCATTCCAATTCTTGATTAAATTTGGATAATTTTGACAGTATTTTCAAAAACGACAGAAAGACATGTCTCGCTTTAAGGATGTGTTTGATTTAGAAGAGAAGTTGTGAAGAGAGAAGTAGATAAAAGATAGTGTAAGAAGACAGAAAAAGATTATTAATAAAATAGATTTGAAGTATTGCGGTTTAAGAGAAAGAGAGAAGAAATAGATAAGAGAGAAGTGTTACATATTTTTAAAAGTATTATAATATCTTTATAATAAATAATATTTTAAAATATATATTTATAATTTAGCGTAATATAGTAATTTTCCTATATTAATTTGTTTCTTCTCATTTTTTCTTCATAATTGAAGAGAAACATAAAAGGTGTAAGAGCCACTCTTTTTTAATCACTCTTTTCAATTTCTCTTCTTCTCAACAAGAGAAGTTATCAATCTCTATTCAACTTCTCTCTCACCTATTTCTCTCTTTCCTACTTCTACTCTATCAAACACACCCTAAATACTCCAAGAGTTGATAAAAAATGCTCATAATCATGAATACAAATATCTCATGTTTTCAGCTCTGACTACATGGATATATCAAGTCTTCAATAAAAAATATTAAAGCGTACTCCGCCCTAAAATATAATAAAAATAAATAAAATCACACTTATTAAAAAAAATAAAAACATAATAATTTAATTTGTAATAGTTTTTTTTTAAAACAATGCATAAAAAAATGTAAAAACAATTCTAATTGATTGTTAATTATAGAAAATATGAGAGGGTAAATTAAATATAATTTGTATTTCATTTACCTTGGAAAAAATGATTTCATAGAGTAAGATGTTATTCCATAACTATATCCCTCAATGGAATATGTCTATCTAGCAGATAAATTTTTCATAAGATAATAAAATGCACCTTAAATTAATTTTATGTTTTGAAATTAAATTTATGTTTATTTAAAGTTCTATCATGTAGATTTTTAATATTTTAATCTTTCGAACAAAATCTGTGTAAATTGTTTAAATATAATCTCACTTTGTGGTTACAAGTACTTGGTAGTTCCTTACAAATAATCAAAGTAGAAGCTCGTAACAGAATGTATTGGCTATATTTTTAAATTAGGACAGCACGTGATTATACAGATCCAGCGAAACATTCTACTGATGTCATGGCGTATGTACTGATGAAAACATTTATTTCTCCACACAAGTAATTTCAGTGTAAAATACATGTAATCTACAGAACAAATAATCAATAACGCCTGCCACCAGCTGTTGACAGAAGAACTCGATTTGGTTTCTTTCCCTTCTTTCCTGTGTCATTTGTCTTTGGTGCATTCGAACTTCCATTAGATTCTGCTTTAGATATGACATTGGAGTATGATAGTATCTCCCCGTTCCTCAAACCTATATAGGATTCCAACAGTTAAGAATTAAAACAAATTCAGGCCCGTGAAGCCTCTTGATTAGTATAACTGAAAAAAATATTGCAGAATCATATAATACCTGCTGTACCAGAAGAATCAGCAATCGAATTGTTATTGTGTAGATTGCTAGTTTCTTGAGCTTGAAAGGATGGAGAATCATGAGCAGCAGCAAAACCAAGCCTAGTCACACTTGAGAACAATTTCCTCTCACCGACAACGGGTGGACTTGATGACAGAGCGGAATTTCCTAGAGCTAATCAAAAAGAAAATTTCATAATTATGTACACCATAATATATCATTGGCTGCAATAAATAAAAGGAGAACAATTGAAGAAGCCACGGCTGAGATAGCCACGATGTGCCAGGGCAAAATAACAGAAATTATGTAGATCTGTGTCACTCAAACTCAACAACTACAGCTCATATGATTAGTTCATTTTCTCACAAGCAACAAAGTTTTTCTATAATATTAAAGTTCTAGTAATGTAACCACAAATCTCTCATTTCAAAATCCAGAGAGCAGATTACTGATAGGCTTGTCAATTACCTTCAAAGTCGTCCATGGAGAACGTGGGAGGATCATCACGAGAAATAAACTGATAATGGGTTGACATGGAAAGAGCATAATTAGAAGTAGCTTCAGCCTTTAATTTTTCCTTCAGTTCCTACGAAATAAGAATACAACACAATTACAAAGTCATTATGTTAATACCAGATTCAATTGTAATCTAACAAGAATTGGGATACAGAGTCAGACACCCAGGATTAAAAATAAGTACAATCCTAAAATCTAGCCTGGCACAATCCCATATGAAGAGTTCTCCTTGACATGCACATCAAACAAAGACTTACAAATAAGAGAAAAATAATAAAAAGAAAAAGTCGGTGAAGGCAGCTACACCTAGATCATATCCTGCTATATTATGTGTGTGTAATATGTTGTAATATGTTGGCCTACATTGATACCTTCTTTGCGAGTTGCTTCCTCTGGTTTGCACGGTTCTTTATTTCATCCAAAAATGGGGCCAGTGCTTCAGCAGGCAACATCTCACTCAAATCAACTTCACAGAGCTGAAAAATTAGCAAACATCTATTATAAATCATAAGAAAATATTATAGAACTAAATAACTCTAGTATAAAAAGCACCTGAAAAGTTGTGGTTAATGGAAAATGACTTAAAAATCGATACCGCCTCCTCATAGCCTCAGATTGAGTAACTGTCTCCAATTGTAGAATCCTTCCACTTATTCTGCAATCAGTATATTATAATAAAAAAGAATTTAATGTCCACTCCAATAAGGAAGATGTTAATTCAAGCCATCAACCATAGGCACACACAAATACGGTAAAAGCATATTGGCCAATACCCCTCACGCTTCAACCTATATATTCGAATAGAAAGACCATTTGCCTCAACTACATAACAGAGTTGTCAATAGCGGGCGCTCCAGCCGCTATAGCGGCGCACTGTAGCGGTGCGGCACCCCCCGCGCGCTATTTAGGGTGCGGTGGCGGAGATGAAAAAGCGGCCGCTTCAGCCGCTTTCCCGGGTAGCGGGTAGCGGGAAGTTCCCGGGCGGAGCGGCTCCGGTTCTCTTTTTTTTTTTAAACAATTTTCTGGGCCAAATTACTTAAATGCCTCTGTTTTAAAACAGTTTTTGTTTTCTTTCTCCCTCATTCGCTGTGTTTTATCGTGCCCTAATTCCTCAACTCTCCTTCTACGATTCTGCCGCCATCTCCCTGCAACTCTCCTTCTTCGGTTCTTCCTCCATCTCCTTCTGCCATCTCAAGTAATTTCTTCTAATTCTTCAACTTATTCTACTTCAACTTATTCTACTTCTTTTCTTTCTACTTCTTTTCTTTCTACTGTTTCTTTCTACTTTCTACTTCTTCTATTTTGTTTTGTTGTAAACACCGTTTCTTTGTATTTTGAAGAAGTTGAAGATGAAGAATTGGAGGAATATGAAGAAGATGAGGAATTGGAGGAATATTTTGATGATGCTACATGATTTCTATGTTTGCTTGAATTTTCATATGATAGTACTAAGTTTGAATTTGAACCTTTATGTTTTGAATCTTGATAAAGCGTTGTTCTTTGTTTGACATTAGATTTTATAAATATTTTATGAGTGTTGTGAAATCAGTTTAGTATTACATGACATATGTTTTATAGATTATTATATAATTATTAGTATACAAAAAGTTATCCCGCTATCCGGGATCCCGCTATTCCCACTTTTCCCATTCCCGGGGATCGGCCGCTCCGCTCCGCTATCCGGGATTAATTACTCTGCTACATAATACTACTATAATATTATGAAATATATACAAATTCATGCAAAATTTAGTGAAAAATTGGCTTTTGACTGAGACCCAACTGCAATTGGTTCATGTAGCCAACTCACCTAGTGGGTTAAAGCTCATTGGGGATTATTGTTACTTCTCTCAAAAAATTGAGAAATTGATTAGCATGAATATAATTAAATTGTATTAGTTTTCCTGACATTCACCATCTTTTTCAGCCAGACCTTATTCAGTATGTACATAAAACTCATGGGATTATAAGTCCTTGCTGTCAGATACATGTGAGTATAAACCAAAATCTAGACATGACAATCTCTAGAACCTATGCACACAAACAAACATATTTTATCATCAGCACATATGAGAAATATATTTTGATTTCTTCTCCTAACCTGTGAGGGAGCTTATCATAGCTACCATAATGATGCAGTAAACACTTGGTGTTCAAAGGATGAAGAATTAGATGTTGCCCATCAGCCGCCTAAAAAATACATGAGCGTAGAAACAAATCAAATGTTATAAACTACATGGAATATAGATTGAAAGCTTTATGCATGCAGCAATCAGGCTGATAAATCTTAAAGTAGCAATTGCAAACAGCAACTGTGAGGGATTACAAGATTAAATGGCGCAAAGGATGCTATACACAATTTGATGTAAATCAATAAAATTCAACATCAACATGTTAGTAGTAAAACTAAAAATAAATGGCATATACAACCAACATGACAAATAAAACAGACAATCTTGACAAACATGACATATCTTTAAACTGACATGAACGAAATTAAAGCCATTAATGAAAAAAATAAGTGTAGTATCAAAACCAGCTCAAAATTTACATTTATGACTAAAAACATGGGAAAGAATATGATATTGTGCAGGAAGTGATCAGAGGGCCTAATTGGACATGACCTCACCAACATTTCATTTTGACGATTGAGAAATCTCTCTGTAACAATATTGTCATTAACGACCAGTTGGTACAAGAAAATCAAAGGATAATGGCGCTGTGGGCACCATAGCGATCATGGAAATAGTAGGAACAATATAAAAGCTGCCACGCCATGGCTTACAGAAGTGGTGTTTTGTCAATCAACCGCCATGCTCTACTAGTACCATGGCTGCCAATTACCATCACTTGTGAGAAATAGCACTTGGAAGGATCCGATCCAGTAGTTTCGGTTTAAATATCTATAAAGTTAGACTTATTTAAATGAATAAATAAAGTTAATAAAAAATAAATTCTGAGATTCAATACTTGTTCCTTCTAAAGTTAGGAGAAACATTTCCAGCCCCTAAACCTCAATTCATTTCTGGAATTGTTTCTGATTTTAGAATCACAAAGACAAATTATCTATCATCTCCAAAATCAACCAATAAGTCTTCATTTACTGCAGGCAATAACATACTGCAACCCGCTTTCTCCAACATACCTTTTCTTTTAAAGTTTTTAGTAGTCGTAATAAGGTGAATGGAAAAGGAAGAGAGTGGCAAGTGAATTACCCATGTTTAGGGCTGTTCATGGTTCGGTTCGGAGAAAAAACTGAACCAAATCAAACTGAACAGTCACAATAGTTCAAAAAAACTAAACTGAACTGATAATAGTTTGTCCCTAACCAAACTGTCATAATAGTTCAGTGAACCGGTTCAGTATTATTGACCTGAACCGAACCAAAACTAGAAAATTGAACCTATATTGACAGTAGAAAAGTGGAAAAACTCGTGTATATACCTCAAATTCTCAATTTTCACCAAGGTAAAGCATAGTTTTCAAGTTTGTACACGAAACAGCCACTCTAACCTATATCATGCTTGTTTCAGGGACATGTCATATAGCAAATATTGTTTGTCAAACTTTTGCTAACATCACCAAGAGGAATGAAGCTAAACTAAAACTAGAAGCTGTAACTCAAAAGTGACAACAATTTCAACATGTGGGTCTATGCAATTACACATGGTATAAATATTGAACTGAACCATTTTTATTTTTGGTATAAATATTGAAATGAACCATTTTTGTTTTTGGTTTTCAAATTTTCAATTTTAGATAGGAACTTGACAGTGGTTTGTGAATATGGTAATTATGAACGTTGATGAAGATTATGGAATGTGAAGCGATGTCGTGAACAAAATGAGGTTACTAACTGAAGTGAAGATAGGGAAAAGGAAATGAAGATGGTGGATGAAATTAGGTCACAGACTGAAGGTGGTGATTTAAAGTTTTATGGTCATGAACCGAAGATGGTGACCCAAGTTTACAAATCATGACATTTAAGGCTCCTAGTGTAATAAGTTATATTAAGTTATATTTGTATGGTTCGGTTATTGCCGTGTAGGTTCAGTTATTTTGGTTCAGTTTCGGTTAGCAAACTGTTTTCAAGTTACAGTTTTGGTTCTTGAAATTAACGAAATGGTTCGGTTCATTTGAGTGTGGTTTAGTTCGGTTCGGCGGTTTATTTGAACAGCCCTGCCCGTGTTTCAGAAGAAGCAACCCAGCTTTTTTCTACTAGTTGGGGCTTGGTACATGGATCAATCAACGCCTCAAAATCTTGTCATTTATTTCATCTAAGATAGATTATTTACCTCTAAATTACTCTAAAGTTTTAACAATCTAAGCGATAGTTTTTCTTGGTCTCCCTCTACTCTACCTCTAACAAATTCCAGCCAACTGAGTCAAACCCAACACAAGCAATATGTCTTACTCTTACTTATATCTTGCAATTTACATGATGTCAAATTTCTCCACATAGTGCCTAATATGAATAATGTAAATAATGAATGCGACAACACATTTGCTCTATCCAAATAGGAAAATAAAAAAGCAAGAAACATGGGATAGACACAACAGAAATCAAATGCCATCAGTTACCTGATAAAATTGTAAGAGTCATTTTCCTTTGCGTCTGCAATGCCTTTGAATGGCCTTGAATACATTTTTTCTCCTCATACGAAGAAGACAAATTCATTTCCTGCTCTATTAGTTTTTTTTCCGGGTCCAAAGTTTCATCCTGACAGCCACCAGCAGTTGATTTATCCAATATTACAACCTTGCTTTGATCGGGGAAATCAGTAGAGGAAGTTCTTGATCCATTAGAACAGTTTTCATCATCAGTATCCACAGCATTTGCAGATATTGATGGTACCTGGAGTGCATTATCAATGAGGTTAGATGCTTTTTCACTGTTAGAAGCCCTGAGCTCATTCCAATACTTCTTTCTCTGTTTTAGTTGTTGCATTGCAGCACTAACATATGGAAGCTTCTCGAGGTCGTCGACAAGACCTGAATCAGCTTTGGCCAGCCAACCATCTAGGTCTGATATTGCATGTCTCGCTGAGAGATCTACATCTAATGTGAGTGTGAGCTTAGAAAAGGGATCACATACATCTCCTTGGCCACATGATGAGTTATCAGTCTCTGGTTTATTTTTATGCGAAGAGTAAATGAATCCTTCTTCCTTGTTAAGAAAGTGAACTCAATATTATCTCCTACTTGATACTGTTTGACATTTGTGATGTGGACTGTATATAAGTCCTTGACAGATATCATCACAAAGCACAACGGACACCTTTTCCAGCAATCACCTTTGTGATCTTCTTCACCCAACATCAAGTATTGTAAAATACATGGGAAACAAAAATGTGTCCACATGAG